AGCCAGGCTGATGCTTCCTTAATGTGACCTATAGGACGCTCGCACTCCGTGAGATCGAGCCGGTGATAGTACAGGTGATCGCCGCGCCAGATGCCGCTTAAGGTCCACTTCACTTTGTCCTGACAATTAGACAGATGGGGAGGACAAGTACACCAGCACCACTAAATCACGCGAAAGTCACTACCTATGTACCACCATGTTTTGGCGCACACAAGAGACTTCGTCGAAAGCGATGGCCAAACTGTCAATAAGCATAAAGTCAACATGCATCCAAGATCACTGCAAAGCAGCGCAGTAGACCGGATCCTAAACATCCCAGACCGTCACCCACTGCATTCACATGTCCAGATTACCGCAGTGTCTCAGGCACGATTAAGTGTTCTGGGAATATGAAATTGAGACAGGAGACTGCATATCCTCCGGACTCAATTAGTTGTTTTACCTCGAAGCGATAATAAAGCCTCCCTAGGTGGCGAGATTTGCTACCGTGAGCCCAGAAGTTACTGTGGGCAACTAGCTGTACGACCACACCCCATTCAAGGACGACCGTTAATCTGCAAGCACCACTGCCTAAGACCATGGGCTGTAGGCTTAAGGGGCGTAATTTTCCCTGTCATAGCAACACGGTGTCTAAGAGAATCCTGACTTACGGGTATACAAACGGAGCGGGATGTTGGTCAGATGCGACATCAGATTCAAAACCTGTTGCCTTGCCTAACGTAGATTCTGTATCGAAATACACAACGGACCACTGGGATGTTTTCAAATGTACAACGAACTGGAAACTACACAGATGATTATTCCAGGCACTTTTTGATACCACTAGGAGAAGCTGAGGAACGCTTTACTAGGCAAGGCGACTACCAATTTTACCACTCAGCGTTTGCATTTACCTCGACACTAATAACATCTCCTGATAAGAAGTCGGACCACATCAGCTAAAATAGGCCGACGCTCCACATTCATTGCGTTGGTTATGCGAAGCTACACACTTTTAGTTCCAATGTGTGCTGTTGCAGGAACTATTAAGAACTACCTGGTAACTGACGGATTATTACAGTGGAAATTGGGGCACCCACTCCAATGACAGGCCGCCGACTTCACCTGCAATCGTTAAAATGACAACAGATGGACGCCTATGAAATAAGATGCATGAAATTAACTTTTCAAAGACAAAAGCATATCACTAACGAATGTCAGGAATAGGTAGACATACCAAGTCCGCACTAATTTCGTAATCCTTAGTCCGATTATGATTTCCGACGCTTACCACAACACTTAGTTTCAAAATCACAATACAGTAGTCGCCGGTTATTAAGCCCACGTTTAATAGGCCCAGCCGCTTATTAAGCCCAATTAGGTCTGGGCCCAAGGTGGGCTTAATAACCGGCGACTACTGCAGTACCGATTTTGGGTGAGCCCTCGAAACTGAGGTACTATGCATTCAAAAAACTGACTACTCATCCCTCACATAGGTTTATCGTATAAGTTTTAACTGAAAAATCCAGATAACAAAAATAAACGAAAAAGTGATCCGTAGAGTTTATTTTCACGGGATTTTTATGCGGTTCCTATGCTCTGATAAAAAACCCATGAGATTACAAAACTCCTACATTAAAACGGGCGATCGTGGTAAGTATTGAAATGACGAACTGGGAGGAAATGTACAAGATGTCGATCGCGGTTCCACAGGACACCAGTCTAACTACTCAACACGTTTTAAAATTTTCAATGCGACCGAAGTGGTTGGACTCTACGCCTTTGGTTTTCTTGAGAGCCTGTAGTGCACGTACATCTCCTTGAATTTGTCAAAGCCAGCCAGCACACCAGCCCCGGCAACACCACGGAGGATGTTCGCGCCCGCACCTCTCATGAAAGCCAGGCCACCTTCGTGTTTCCAAATTTGTACTGCGCAGTCGATGGATCCCTTGTATTTGACAGCAGCACCTGAGAACACCATAATTTAAACTTCACAAGACATACCTGAGGTCATCATCATTCTTCGTCGAATGGTATCAATGGGGTAGGACATAAGGCCAGCGGTGACGGTAACACCATAACCAAGAATGAAACTGATGGTGACACCGGCATCTTCGC